ATAGTGCCTAGCAACCACTACTCGCTTCACGAGATATACCACCCGAGGTAGCCTAGCCTGAGGTGAAGACCCTGTTCGATAGCCCCCTGCATCGAAACAGCGGTAAATTCCAGGATCCATTTGAGACCTGCGATACCGTCCGAGACTGACCACCTCCGACGAAGATCCTGTGCGATAGCCTCCTGCATCGACACAGCGATACCCCAGGCTCCTCCAGAGACCTGCGTACCGCCCGAGGTAGCCCAACCTAAGAACCTCCGACGGAGACTGTGATTCCGATCGTGCCGGCTCCATCGAGAGACCGCACCTCGGTACAGAGTACATACATAGGCTCCTACGAGTCCTATCATTCAGACTCAATCGAGATCTGCAAATCCGAGGCAACTTTCCTCGTCAAACCTCTAGGCGGTCACTCGTCGAGGCAACCTTCCTCGTCAAACCTCTACGAGGCATTTAGTGCTACGAGGATTGGTGCCCTCGAAGGTACAACAACGAATAAATTAGATCGTGATTCGATAATCGAGACTGAGCTGGACGAGACCTCGTCCCCAATCGGAGAGACCAGCGGTTACACGGACTGCCCTCACACCCGTTTGCCGGCGAAAGATCTCTCGACATTCGGGGTGAAAGAGGAAATGGTCTCCTTCCCCAACGTTACCTCCGATATCGGGTGTCCCGGAACGTGGAGTTTTTTTACGAAATGGTATCCAGCGGGAGCAATGCGCATCGCGTTCGGGTGCCATAGTAAGCGAAAACCCCTTAGCCGACTACGTCGTAGATGACGAAGCCGGCCCTTTTTTTTATCAAAACAATACTTGTACGTCGCCCGTCCATTCTCATGATTTCCCCCGAACATTCGATCACCGCCTAAGTGGTCCATATTTAGAAAGTCTAACCCGACACGGCGCTTAACGCGGAGCTCGACATTCTTCGTCGAGATCTCCCCCGCGAGCTCGTGTCCTAGACACCACGTCTGTAGGTCATATCCACCACAGATTCCAATCGTCTGAGAATATAGTGCGACCGGACGTCGATAGCGACGATCCCCGCGAACTCCGTGCGTTTCTGCCGCGGAACCCGGTCAAGGGAACTAACATCCCAGATCATAGGTTGCGACATGGTTTCCAACGTGGAGCTCGATTAGAACTCCCGATGTCTCTACTGAGGACCCATGCCAACCAAACACAACCTTCAGATCATATTTCACGACATGGCGCTCGACGTGGGGCTCGAAGTCCTGCTTCGACGTCTTCGCGGCGAGCCCATGTTGCCAATTCTCCTCATAATTCTCAAACATTAGGCACAAACGATCATCTTACTCGACACATAGGTTACGCACAGTTATGAAAAGAGAACAAGAAATGCAATAATTTAAAGTATCTATAATTTGCCATGTCA